CCTCACAGTCTCTCAGTAGCTCCCCCTCCCTGCACCCTCTCAGTCTCTCACTAGCTCCCCCTCCCTGCACCCTCTCAGTCTCTCACTAGCTCCCCCTTCCTGCACCCTCACTGTCTCTCACTAGCCCCCCTCTCTGCACCCTCGTGGTCTTGCACTAGCTCTCCCTTCCTGTATCCTTGCTGACTCCCTGAAGCATCCTCCCTGCTATTCACTTTCCAGTCCCCACACCTCACACATGGGCTCTGTGGACTGCTTTTCTTCTTATTTCGCACTCTCCCTCACCACCCAAGTCCTTGTGCTTGAAGCAAATCTCAACCTCTTCTGGCTCCTTGGTTTCTGGTCTGTGCCACTGTCACTCTGCTGCCTGCTTAGAGACACACACACTCACTTGAGGAGCTTGGGTGGAACATGAGGGCGCTTTAAGTGCTGCTTGCCTACAGTGCTGGCACTTCTGGCTGTGTCGCTGTGCTTTAAGGCAGGGGGGGAGCTGGGTTTTTAGTTGGCTTCTGGTGGGAGTGCAGTGGGAAGGTCCCAGTGAGATGGCCCAGTGGGGAGCCATACATCATCATGGGAGCTCCCACAGGCAAGGAAGATGTTGGACCAAGAGGAGTCGGGACTGAAGATCCAGCCTTCCTTCCAGTGGCCAGTCCTGCAGAGTGGCCTTTTGCTGAGGGAGCCACCAGTGGGATCTTCAAGGGACATGTCTATGACAGTCAGAGAGAAAATGGCTCCAGGACAATGGGCAGCTCTCAGACGAAGGCTGATGGTCAGGACAAATGACTCCAGTAGAAAGATGGGGAGTCCGCCCCAGGATGCAGCTGCCCTGCTCACCAGGGAGCTCACCTCTCGGAAGAGCTGACCCTAAGAGAAGACTGTGTCTTGAAGGCTGCAGAGAGGTTGCTAGAAGGAAGGAAACAGGTGGACGCACAGGGCCACAGCGTCGGCTTTTGCCGTTATCTTTGAACTAGAGGGGGGAAGAAGAGAGAAGACCAAAGTGCCACCTCAGTGGGTAGCAGGAAGGACCCAACCAAGGAGATGGCTCTTGAGTTGTTGGCAAGAGGGAGCTGAGGTCCCAGAGAGAACATAACAAGGGGAGTCCGGGTCTTTCTACCAGGCTCAGTGTGAGGACACCACTGCCTGGAGGAAAGGACATCTGGGTTCTCCCACAGGTCTGCATCTACCTGTCAGTCACTGCCAGGAAGATGCCACAGAAGGCTCCTTACAGAGAAGCAACGAAATGGACTCAGAGCCAGTCAACCCTTGACTCCTGTTGCAGCCAATGAGATGGTCAGCAAGGCCTTTGACAGTCTCTTACAAGGTCCTTATGTCTAAAGTCCCAGAATTCACAGCTTCTCTAAGCCAGACCAGCTCCAGCTGGATTCCCAGTGTGTCAGCAGTTGGAGCAAGGTGATGAGGAGCCTGCGGTAGTTGGGCCATGAAACGCAAATAAAGTAAAAATTAGCCAGACCAAGGAAAGGCCAGCTCATTTTAGCTGAATTATGGTCAGTCATAACTTCACTTTGGACTGAAGTTTTGGATAAACAAATGTTTCACCTGGAGCTGGGAGGAGCTAGAAGTTATCTCCAGACCGGGGATGTTAGCTAGAGGCCTCGGGTAACTGCAAGTGGGGCCAGCTATCACCCAGCCAGAGGAGACTGTCCACAAAGAGGAAAGAATGCAGCTGCACTGCTCTGGTCTCTGGCTGATGTCTACAGGTGGGCTTCCAGAAGGTTCTGAGCAGGCCACCAAAGACTGAATGTGTAGGTTTGGCTGCTGTACAGATGAGCAATGGACACCAACTTGAACCCCAGCTCCTTGAGTGACTCTCAGAGATGAATCCTTTCCTCATCTCTAGCCCCAGGACTGAGTGTTCTGGCCCTGACCCTGGAGGAGTTAGAGTCTCTGTGTTCAGACTGGAGCAGCCTCTGACTCGGAGCAACAAATCTCTGGGTGTTTTTCCCTCACTGCTCCCTCTGCCAGGTTGAGTCATAGATGTGGCTTTCTCAAGGCTGAACATTCCCCAAACACATGGTGGGCAGGACATCTCAGACCTCAGTTGGTTTTGGTGACTGGAAAAAACAGGCTCCTGGTCCATTCTAGAGAAACATTTTGGGGTGTTGGATGAGGATCCTTCCTCCTGTCCCAGCTTCATATTTCTCCTAGGTCTTTTCAGAAAAGAGCTACCTGAGCTACCTGAGAAGCAGACACCTGCAGCTGTGCCCATCATGACCTGGTCTCTCCCTGAGCCTCTGTCACACACTCCCCCGTGCCCACACTGGTGCACAGGTTCTTGTACGGGGACACACACTGGGGTCAACATACTTCGCAGATTCACACACACGCACAGAGTTGACATTTGCTTCCACCTCACACTTGCACTTCACGTCACACTCGCCCACGTGCTCGCAGCCTCCCACCTGCTCCTGCATGTGCTTTGGTCCCACACGGCCCTCATGTGCACGTGTGTGCTCACATCGGCCCATGCACACACATTCTCTTGCTCACGCCAACGTGCACGCAGAGGCCCCAGCCATGCTTGTTCACGTACCCTCTCCCCCTACCACCCCACACACATTCGTGCACACATGCCCACAACACCTGCTCCCGTCACTTGTTTACATGACCACTGTGCTTCCTCTGGCACTCTGATCACTGACCTGTCTGTTTTTCTGTGTTGCAGCCCTCTCAAGAACTGAATGACAGCAGCAGCGAGTCCAGTGACCTCCAGTTGGAGGGCCCCAGCTCCCTCAGGGCCCTGGATGAGAGCCTGGCTGACCCCCAGGCAGAAGACAGGCCCCTGGTTTTCTTTGACCTCAAGATTGACAATGAAAGTGGGTTCTGTGGTGACCAACCCCACCCTTTTGGGGCTTACTCTCTTGATCCCCAAGATCAGTGCAGGCAGGGCCATCAGTGAGGCCTAGAAGCTGCTAAACTCTGGTCAAGGAGTACCACATCTTCCCGGGGACCCCCAGGGGTAGCCTGCCCTGAACAGCAACTAAGGCGTGAGTCCAGTGTCTCCCTGAGTTGCCTCAGAAAGTCTTGGGAAAATACTTCTAAACAGAAACAAACTAGGAGTGACTGCCAGGAGCCTCCTAACCCCAGATAGACCTTAGGCAGTGATTGCACACTTCTGAGGCTGGGGCCCACCCCACAGGGGCCAGCAGGGGAGGTCGGCACAGTCAGGGGTTAGCAAAATCAGACCTCTTCTTTCACAAGGCCTTCAACTCCCCACAGGGCTGGCCCTGAACTAGCAGACCCAGGCCTGGGCCCTGGCCCTTGGCATAGACTCAACATCGGGCAGAAGAGACACCCTGGAGCACCTGGAAGGCACTGGCAGATCTCACAGAGAGGCGCTGAGCCACACTCTGAGCTGACGGGACAGGCCTGCCTGCCCCAGGGTTCCGTCTGGGCTGGTGCCTTAGCCAACGGGCCCAGTGATTGATGGGAGTGGAGGCCGGGCGAGGAGTAGAGTGCGAGATGGAAACAACAAGGGGTCTTCGGTGGAAGTGGGCCAGGCAGGTAGAAGACAGACAGGAGGGACCTGGATCCAGAGGTCCAGGTGGCCCCGGGCAGGTGGCGGAACCCCCACCTGCCAGCTAGACTCCCAGTAGGCGAGCAAGGTAGGGTCAGAGCCTCCTTTGACGGCTGATATTTATTTCCCGCCCACGGACTGCAAGGCAGGGTCTGTATGGGGTGTCCGCAGCCCTAGAGTTCCTTCGGTTTGCCCCACTCCCCAGTGGCTTCTGGCGGCTGGGGCCTCACCCTGTGCTTCTCTCCTGCTCAGCCCAGAAGATTAGCCAGCTGGCGGCTGTGAACCGAGAGAGCAAGTTCCGCGTGCTCATCCAGCCCGAAGCCTTCAGCGTCTACTCCAAGGCCATCTCTCTGGAGGTGGGGCTGCAGCACTTCCTCAGCTTCCTGGGCACCATGCGCCGCCCCATCTTGGTCTGCTATAAGTTGTGGGGGCCCGGCCTCCCCAACTTCTTCCGCGCCCTGGAGGACATAAACAGGCTATGGGAGTTCCAGGAAGCCATCTCGGGCTTCCTGGCTGCCCTGCCTCTCATCCGGGAGCGGGTGCCTGGGGCCAGCAGCTTCAAACTCAAGTGCCTCGCCAGAACCTACCTAGCGAGAAACATGAGTGAACGCAGCGCCCTGGCCGCGGTGCTGACCATGCGGGACCTGTGTCGCCTGCTCGAGGTGTCCCCGGGCCCCCAGCTGGCACAGCATGTCTACTCCTTCAGCAACTTGCAGTGCTTTGCATCCCTGCAGCCCTTGGTGCGAGAAGCTGCCCTGCCCCTGGCTGAGGCCCGCCTCCTGGCCCTTCACAATGTGAGCTTCCTGGAGCTGCTGAGGGCACACCGCAGGGACCCTCAGGGTGGCCTGAAGAAATTCAGCCACTTCCTGAGTCTACAGATCACCTCCGCACCCGCCCCGCAGCCCGCCTTCAACCTGAGGGCCCTGAGTGCCTACTTTGAAGGCTTGTTGGAAAGTCCAGCCTCCGTCCAGGCAGGAGGCCTCTCCGGCCCTGTTGCTGGCCACAGCTTGTCAGAAAGGACCCCCCAGCAGAGCTGAGAGGAAGGGATGCTGGATGGGAATCTCTGGGGCCACAGAAGGATGGGGTCCCTGAGCCAGGCCCCACCTAGTGCTGCATTCCCAGGACCTGGCCCAAGTCCTTGGTTGTCATTTGGTCCAGAATCAGTTTTCATTCTCTGGGACCAATTACCCTTCTCTGATACCATCCCCGCCCCACAAAGGCCGATCAGTCACCCTCTTAGGGGTCACCTGAACCCACATGGCTCAGGAGTGTCAGGGAGTTAGCTCACCAGATCCTGCCCCCTTCCCCCGCCAGGAGCCAGACTAGTGGGGGAAGAAGACATGGCCTCTGGACTCCCTCAGTGGCCTCATCTTGCCCAGCCACCTGACTCGCCCCTCCGAGGTGTCCTTGCAGCTCGTCCCTGACCCCTGGCTACTGCCTGCAGGAGACCACCCGACCGCGCTCATGGACACAACACTAGCTGCCCACGGGTTCCCGAAGTGCCTTTCAAACCAAACTGCCCCTTTTGAGTTTGGGCTCTCCCTGTCTCTGCCTGTGCAGAAGCCAGCTCTCTTCACTTCCCTCTGGGACATTTTCTTGTCCTAAGGATCTCACATGAGCAGGGACAGAGGCTGGGGCTCCATGCCTGTCCCCGCTTCCGAAGTCACACTCTTCCGCTATTGCTTCCTTCCTCCCGGCCACAGAAATACCTTCCCCTCACCTGAGGCTTTGTCCTGGTCCTCAGGCCACACTTGTCTCAGCATGCCCTCTGCCCTCTGTGCCCACAGCCCCTCCCCAGGAGTGCCCTCTAGCCCAGTGCTGTTCAGTGTGTAGTATGGCATGGGAACCCCGAGTGCCTCTACCCCAGACCTGGCTTGGGGTCAGCGAGTTGTTGTGGTAGGTGATGCTGAGGCCCCTAAGTTTGGGGGCTGTGACCCCGGCAGCCTGCCCTTCGGGGAGGAGCAGCAGTGTGGATCCTGGTCCTGATGCTGCATACGTGTGCAGTGCGTGTGGCTTAGGAAGAGGCCACTTCCGAACCCCTGCATCCCTCTCTGTAAAGTGGGCCGACCAGTCAGGTGGCTGCAGGCCTCGGTTTTGCTCTGCCATTCGTAGTCTTAGAGGTGGGCAGCTGGGCTCGAAGGTCATGGACAAGACATCCGTCATTCTTGAAACCTGGCTCCCAGTCATTGGTCCCCAACCTCGTCACACCAGGGGTTGGCCACAAACCACAGGCATGTCAGGGCCATCTTGTCGGGTTAGCAGCACTGTTACCCTTTTCCTTCCCTCCCTCCCCCTTCATGGGCTTCCTGTTGCCCCCCCACACCTCTATAGCATTGGATTTCATGTGGAAGTCACCCCATCAGTGGGATCTCTGAAGATAGGAATACAGGAACTTTTACTGTGTGGGGAGGACTAGCTCAGACAGTAAATTCCAATGGACTTCATATAGGACTTGTGGTTTAAAGCAGGTGATGGCTCTGGAACTATCTGTGGAAACAGGTTGAGGGGTGCAGGAAAGGGGGCCTGGCTGTGTTGGCAGCTATAAGGCCATGCTTATGCCCCTTCATCCTGCCTCCTGGGGCTGAGCAACACCCACGGATTCCCAGCTCCATCCACACTTGTCTACACAGAGTGACTGGAAGGTTTCACTAAAGAGAATCTTCTGCAGCCTTTAATAAAGACATGAGTCTTAAAAGTCTGGCGTGCTGATCATATATAGCTCAGCCCACCTGGGGGAGCCACAGTCTACAGTCTGGCCTGGTAAAGAGGTCCTGCTGCCCGCATGGGTGACTGGGCACTGTGGGCACAGCTCTTCTTTGTAGAGAACTTTGGAGACCCCGCAGAGCTGAGCAAGGGCCCACCTCGCTCACTGCTGAGGGTCTCAAGTATGTGAGCCCCTATTCTAAGTGGGGAGACTAGGGTGGGCCTGCCTTGGGATCATCTCCAGAATGAAGAGCATGGGAATAACCTCCCAGAGAGGGTCAGGCAGCCCAGGAACGTTGGCTGCCTCTGCTGGGTAGTCTTGAGCTCTCGTCTATGTCCCCATCAGCCCAGGGACATAGTCTGGAGTCCAGGTGGCAAATGCCCCTCCCAGGTGAGGTGGGACAGCCCGCGATATAAGCAGGGGCCAGACTGCACCGCTGTCTCCACGTCACAGATGGGCGCTCCTGGCACAGGCAGTGTCTGGATGAGCTGCCTGGCAAATGCGTTTTGATCAGAGCCACCACCCTTACCCTGCCTACCTGGCTTACACGCCCAAATTTGGCCTTGGAGTTTTAGTCTCTCAGCTTGACCCTTTGGCTTCAAAACCGGGTAAGTCCAAATGCTCTCTGTGCTGAATTCTCAGGTTCACTGACATCAGTCCACTGGGATGGATCCAGCTGGCTGGCTGGAAGTCAGGGCACCGTTTCCATCGTCACCAGCCCGGGAGCCTGGTCTCGGGGCTTTACACTTGTCTACGCACAGGCCCTGACTGTAAAATGGGGTGATACGGATCATTGTCATCTGGTGGGCCAATCAGAAGATGTTTGTGCCATCGTCTTTATTAATACCTGAACCACAAATTTGTTCTTACAAGCTGATTCTTTGTAATAAATTCTTTCAAATAATTATTTCATAGACAAGCAAGACGACAGTGTGAGTGAAGTTCACAGAAGAAAAATAAGCAGATCTACAATCTTAACCAAAAAAAAAAAAAAGTACAAATCTGTCTTCAAGGGAGTAAAGAATAAGATTGGAACAGAGCAGATTACTGTGGGAGTGCCAGGGTCCCAGGGAACCAGGCAGAGGGCATGGGCCTCCACCAGGCTGGAGGAGCTGGGCAAAGGTGTCTCTAGAGGGGTGATGATAGTCACATAGACTGGAGCAGAGAACAGTTTTCTGCCCAGCCCTGCACTACCCCCTTATAGGAAGGCAACTTTTTCCTCTCTCCTCACCATCAAGGAAATGCCACTGTTGGTGAACCCCAATGTCAAGTCAGAGAGGTTAGTTAGCATTGTGGACCCAGCCCAGAAGGAAGCTCCGTCAAAGCTGCTCCCATGCTTGGCCAGCAGAGGGCGCCGCAAGCCTGCTGGGTCCAGCAGCGAGGTTCTCACATGGGTGGATATGGTCTGAGGTTAGGCCCCACAGGAAATCCAGTCCTCGTGAAAGTGCCCAGATTTCTTCTGGTGGTGGGGAGGGGAGGGGAGCAGATAAATTTAGGTAGATGGGGCATGGAGAAGCATTTAAGAAATGTTAACAATTTCACTTTCATTATCTATTAGAAAAAGTATAGCAAGCATATCAAAACTGATTTCTGGACAGTAGTCTCTCAAAATGACACTAAAGTGGGAATCTTGAAAGGCTTAAGGGGACTCCCTGGTGGCCTAGGGGTTATGTCTCGGTGCTGTCACTCCCTATAGCTTGAGTTCCATCCTGGGTCAGGGAGCTGACCCACATGGCGCAGCAGACCTGTCTTATTTCCCCAGCTGCTCCCCTCAGCAGTATATTTCTGCCCCTGGCTTGTCCCTGATGAACGCTCCTCCTAACCCCCTCCCCAACATACACAGCTGTGACCTGTACCCCAGTTCTTCTACACAAAAATAAGTAAATACATTTTAAAAATCTGTTGTTTAAGGACAAATATTGTTTTTTTTTTTTAAAAAAGAGTTATTTATTTATGCATACAGAAATGGGGTACAGGCCAGAGGGGCAGGGGTGGTGAGAAGCTTCACCAGAGACAGAGGGGGAGCAGAACAGGTAGATGGATAAAGTACACTGCTGAGGGGAGCAGCAGGCGGTACAGGAAAGGTCTGCCAGGCCCTGTGGGTCCTCTCGGGCCATGGATCAGACTCAGTGCTGCAGTGCTGCAGCTGTGCCACCAGGGGGGGCCCTAAAGGACAAATATTAAGGACTACAAGCCCAGGGGCCTCCCTGGTGGCACAGGGATTAATGTCTCAGCTATTAAGCTACAGCCAACCACTTGGTCATGACCCCCACCTCCCCACCCCCCAGACCTCTCTTGTCTTACCGCCTGCTCCCCTTAGCAGTGTCTGCTCCCCACTCTGTCTCTGGTGAACCATCTTATCACCCTCACCTCTGGCCTATAACCCTGCTCTTGTATGTATATATAAATAAAGCCAAATCTTAGTTTGGGCCACCCTCCCCAGTGGCCCAACAGTTAAAGCACAGCACTATGAAGCTCTCCACAGCCACTGAAGCACAAGTTCGATCCCCTCCCAGGGAGGTGACCCACATGGCCCATCAGACCTCTTCTGACCAGCCCCTGCTCCCCCCAGCAGTGTATTTCAGTTGATCTGCCTGTTTTATTCCCCACTGTGTCTCTGGTGAATCCTCGCACCTCCCCACACCTCTGGCCTGTACTCCAGTTCTTGTATTTATAAGTAAATAATTCTTAAAAAAAAAAATCTTAAAATAAAAAAGGACTACAAGCTCAGAAGGGCAACAGGTAAAATAAGATCTGGGATTGAGTGACTTAATTTGGGGGAAACTAGGCTATTAGAACTAAGCCTAGGGCCTAAGTTTTAGAATTAAGGTAAGGATGGGGTAGAGGTGGGTCGTGAACCCTAAGGTTAGAATTTGAAGTTGATCATGTCCGGTGACTACTGCTAGGGGCGCAATTAGGAAGGTAATGAGGAATCTGGTTAGAGTTGTTCTCAGGCTGTAGGCGTATGTTACTTGGCCAACTGGAAATCCCATGACACTGTGGACCGAGCATAGGAGCTTCTGAGGAGGACCCCCTAATAGGGTACCCCATGTGCAGTCTGCCTCCTTCCACAGCACCTTTTCTAGAAGCACTCGCCAGGGACTTGGCCTGACTTACCGGCCCAGGGCAGGAGGGCTGGGTCCCAGGACCGCAGTAGGGTCACACCATTTTCTCATTTAGCCAGGGGCTGGCCCCCTTCCCAAGACATCACCTTCACCCCACAGAGGAATGGGAGAGCAGGAAGGTTGGGCGCCTGCTCAAGGTTGTTAAACTTGCCTGTGGCAGAGCTGCAGTGTGCCCAGGAGGGAGCCTGAGAGTGTAGACCACTCTGTGGGGACTCTCGAAGGTTAGGGGTGTGTTTCCTGCTCTCCCTTTCCTGTACCCTCCTGTCTATCAGTCTCACATGATGGGAAATGCAGGCCTCAGAGAGCTCACACCCCTGTTTTCTCATCCCTTGCTTGACTGTCTCCCAACTGTGTGTTCTAAGGCAGTGCTTCTTAAACTTTTTTCCCCATAGTGCCCCCCAAGATGCCCTTCACAAGACGCTGGCCCTCATTTTGGACACCCTCCACCCCCACCAAGGAATTTTAATTCTGTATACCTTGGGATTTCCTCCATGCAAGATCATGTTATCTGCAAATAAAATGTGTTTTACTTCTACCAGACTCAGAGATACTTGGTGTTTGTTCATGTACATGGGCCTGTGGAAGGCTGGACCCCTTGGCTAATTTCCCCCCTTACTCGCCTCCCCCCACAGGCACACAATGAATTTCGGGGGGGGAGGGGTGATATTAGCTTTGTTGAGAATTCATGATTTAGAGTGAGCCCCAGATGCAGTGAGGTGTTCAGTGTGAGGGAGGTGTTGACCCCTCTGTATGACTCAGTCCACAGGTGGCATGGGGGGGCAAGCTGCAAGGAAATGGAAGAGAACGTGGGCAGGAGTCTCTGTGGACAACTTCCCTGGAGCGGCCTTGGCCCTGGACTCAGGCCTGGCCCACTGAACTTGGGGCTGGGGGAGAGTTGGGGTCCTCACCATCATTTGTCTTTGTCTCCAAATCCAGGTGTCAGGCTTAGATTCTTGGGGCCTGAATCAAGCAGTTGTTTCATTCTATTGTGAGAAGCATTCAGAACTTCAGCTGACGCCCCTCCTCCCAAAAGAAACAAAACAGACACTTTGGAAAGCTCTATGTGCCCTTATGAGATGCATTTGCTGACAAGTGAGGGGAAACTTTTCTCATTCTTGGCCCAAGGAACTTCCTTAAAGTCAGCCCAGAGGAATTCTGTAAAGACCAGCTGCGCAGACTGTACTGAAACCGGTTTACGATATAAATATCCCCAACCTGATAGCCAAAGCTAGCTAGCTAACCACAGAAAATGTCCACACCGTGTGCCAGCCAAACAAGTGTGATGGGAGAAGCTGTGAGATCCAGTGCCTTGGGGGTGATTGTCCAATCAGTGTTTGCAAAGGCTGAGCCCGGAGGGCCCAGGGCTAGTGTTCCGCCCCCTCACCAACCCCCACACACAGCCTGATTCTCCTGAGCTTCTGTAGCCATAAAGCCCTGGCTGGCACCAGGGTTGAATGATTCTGTCCTTGTTGAAAGGCAGCAAGAAGGCAGCAGAGGGTGAATGCAGATTACCTAGATTGGAGTCAAATAACCTTTTTCTGGGAGAATATCTAAAGGCAAGGTTCTGTCATATGCCGGCAGCCTCTTCTCAGCGTGTGAAATCACGACCCCCCCCACCACTTCCAGACACCCCCTTGAAGCACCAGGTCCCTCTCCCATCCTTTACTTCTGGGCATAAACCCTCAGTCTGTCCCCTTTACTCAAAAATCAATAGCTGGGCCCTCCCTGCTGGCACAAGGGGTTAAGTCTCAGCACTGTGAAGCTGTCCACAGCTACTGCAGCGTGAGTTTGATCCCAGCCAGGGAGCTGACCCACATGACATAACACATCTCTCCTGTCTCAGCCGCTGCTCCCCTCAGCAGTGTATCTCAGTCATTCTGTCTGTCCTGTTCCCCACACTGTCTCTGGTAAATCCTCCCATACACTCCCCACAACCCAGCACCTCTGCCCTACATCCCAGCTCTCATATGCATAAATAAATAA